TATAATGTGCATTTTAAATCTTAATTTCTATAAAAGTATGTAACGTAGGCCTTACTAGTATTTTTAATCTTTTATTTTATAGTGGGCACGGACTCTCTGGAATGGGAAATCTTCTCATGCTGTCGTTTGCAGCTATTCCCGCCATGTTTGTAGGAGGTTCTTTAACTGCTATATATATGCATATTACGAACATGATTTAGAGAGAAATACGCGTGTAAACCTTCCGAGCTCAGTAAGAATGTATAATGAAGGAAAGAACTATTAGCAGAAACATACAATTTTGATACAGAAGAAATATTATGTTATTTAAAAAGTGGTGCAATTGTGGTAATTGGGTTATAATTACCCTATATATTTTTAATAATTTTGAGATTGTAATTGGTGAGTAGGAATTTTGATCTGATAATTATAATTCAATAAAATGTAAAATAATTTACATTAATTTAGCACAAAAGTTTTGAAAATTAGAATCTTCCAATCCGCTGCTGTAGAAATATTGTATATAACATTATTTAAAAAACGGTACCAATTATATATTTCAGATAATAACAATCTTATCTAAGAAAACAGCGGTTATACAAAACGCATGTTGTAGCTAAGAGTCACATGAAAAATGTACAGTGATTCGGTATCATTTCTCAATTTGTTAGACTATTTTAAGTACACAGAGAATACAATAATCCAGGAATAATGGACCTTTCCACTAAGCTTCCGCCCCATGGATATTGTTGGTAAGGTTCCACAAAAAGATACCATAAACGTACGTATAAACTCTTGCGTTTGTGGGACATACGTGTGCTTATGCGATAAGCGCGTATCCTAGTGATGTTCTGATTAGCCAGTTGTTAAGCTTGATTGAAGCTCTCGAAAGGTCCATTATGTGGTTTAGTACTACAACACGTATTTGTAGAGTAACCAGTGTTAAATAAATAATATACTGTATTTTTTATAAATAATATTCATAGGCCTTGAATGTTTTGAAAAAGTAAACTTTACAGAGGGCGCCCTTTTAAATAGTAGCTTCAGTGGGGCTATGGATAGTCTGTACTCTGAGTTATTATAACCTTATGCCTTACTACAGTAGTAGTAACTGTTGATCATTATGATCATCGTTCATTCTTTTATGCTTTTAAAATGTGTGAAGTGTCAAAATGTCAGGTGGATTTAGAAATCCACAGTGATCAATCGGTATTACTTTTTACCAAGGTTCTACTAAAAGGTTATACAAAATTTACATCATTTGTTTTTGATTCGCCGCGCGTTAATGACGTAATGTCGCGCAGCTTTAACGTTAATGTAAGTTGAATTTCCCAGGGCACATTATACGCATTTGAAATATTGTAATGTTGACAAATATTGAATGACGCCACAGTAAACTATGTAAAGACTTCTGTTGGGCTTTTTAACCTACACTAACGTAAGCTATAATGACAGTCGCTAAAAATAATCGTCGTTAGAAGATGTATTTTATATTAAAATTCCATGAGAATAAATTATGCAAATAGTTTAAAACCCTTGCACATAAACTGGAAGCATTATTTTTATATAGCGCATGGTGTCGAAAAAACGACCCAAAGCGCTAAAAACATTTCGTAAATTTCTAATTTAATCACCTAGCTAAATTTGAACTTGCAATATTTATACACTGGTTTTTGTTTTTTGGGTCAAAATCTCTAATAAAACAGAATTTACAGGGAGAAACCATTTAAACATTGACGTCTGAGCAGAAAGGCACGGTGTATCTAATGCTTCTTCCACACTTCATGTGTGGCTATGTGATTGCCCTCTATTACGGACATGATGATGTGTAATATCACACTGACATTATTTATAATATTAGGTGTACATGAAATGAGTTTCGTTAGTGAAATGTCATGTGGAAGGAGATCTATGTTTTCTGAATCTAGATGACGTTTTTAATGTCTACTAGAATCAGCAGTCATTTTCTTAAAACCAAGAATCCAACATAATCGGCGGTGATGACTGTTAACCCGGCATTATATTCGTGGGTTATTATTTTTTTTAATTGAAATATAGCAACAACTACTGATTATTTTCGGACAGCCTTTTGATTAATGTTTAAGCGACTGCCTCATGACCTATCTTTGTTGTGCTGTAATTATTAGTTGGCTCATTTTTAATTGGAATTTTTTTCTGAGCATGTTAAAAAAATATTTAATCATGTAGTGCGTGGCGTCATTTTTCGATGTAACATGTTGCAATCGATTTGAAAAAAAAGTTATCAAAACAAATTAGGAGCGGAAATATATTAACGGGTGCAAATCATATTAAAATACTTTCTGTACTGATAAATTGATATATTGATTGATTGAATTTTAATTAATAAGTGCGATAATCTGCAAAAGAAATATTTCGCTCTTGAATAACAAAGAGGGCGCTGTACCATTTGAACAGTTAGTACCCAGAGATGCAATTTGTTGTGGGATTTCAATTACATAGTAGGACTCATTCTGGTCACATTTTCTGATTGAAATTTCCTGTTTGTTTAATAATGTACGGATTGATGTGGTTAGAAAACGAAAATACTCAGATATAACATTCCCAAATTATTTTGGTATTGATAAAAATGAAAATATAATGAGGTAGTACAGTAGTATACGGGTATATTATATAATAATCAAGGATATTCAATAAATGTGAAATGTCTATATTGTTTGTTTAATTTCGTTTTAGATTTAGTTGTGCTACAACTAGATAATATTTTACATACATAGTCCACTCATATTTTTTCAGTTCAAACTTACATCCTTATTCACCTTTTTTTTATGGAACAAACTTACTTACTTACCTACTCCATTTAAGCCTAAGACATCCAGAAACTTAACCTCTCCTCTCTTTAATGTTTTCTTTGCTTGGTGACTTCATAGACTATAGGTTCGCAATGCATGAACCATCCATGCATTATATTCTTTTTAAAAAAAGTAGAAAAAAATGGCGCCCATATAATAAAACAGCTACAAATCGTACTGTAGTCGCGATTTATTTCATCAGTAATAATACTTACTAATTGCTTATGGGTCAATAAATCATTAGAGACACCTTAGAATGTGATCTAATTAATATGAATAAGTTCAAAATGGCTTCCAAGATGGACACTATTATAAACAGCTATATATCAGTAATTACTAGCAAGTTGATTGCTGTTTTTTATTCAAAGAAAGGTATAATCTAATATCCTATTGATTAACAATTAGATTATTAAAAAATTGTCATTTTTATTCCAACAAGGAGCCTCGAATTGTAGCACCAAGCTTACTATATCTAATGTTAATCAATTAGTCATCTGTTTCCATTACTTTTTCTTCATCATCTATCAATTTGTCTACTTTATCACATCGCTCCACAAGCTGCTTAGCCAGGGGTGACGCCAAGAATTCTCCGACGAGGGGTACAAGCTCCCCGACAAGGCGGTCCACACCTCTTGGACCCCCGCAGCGCCGCCTACATGTGCTTTGCTGAGGTAAATGCCAACCCAGAGCGTCTGCAACTTCAACGTGTTAGTTCATCTGGAGCAGCATTCATCATTGCCATGATTGGCACCACTTATGTAGCATCTGAGATTCATTCCTCTTTAATACTCCACTCCATAACTTGAACTATGAATAAAGCGGAGATAGTTGCTGAGGCGTCACAAATGGTTTATCTCCAACAATTTTCTTTTTGAAGAGTTTACGTCTAAAGCTGTCGAGTGAATTCATGAACTTGATCCAAACAGAATAGCCTTAGTTTCTTCCGAATTTCACAATGTTCGGATTTGGCTTGAGCAAATCGCCTTAATACATAATCTAAACTTCATATTCAGGTGTATATATTATATAAGATCAGAGGGCAGCATAAGCTGAAATCTTTGTAAAAGAAATCAGTGAAACAGTAAAATAGTTATAAGATCTGACATGAAAATAAACATGCATAGATATACACAATCAATGTATTAAAATTATTAAAATAGCTAAGCCTACTTTCCAACATTATTAAATTGGACTTATAATATTGTATTATTATTTTATTAGAATTATTAAATTTTTATAATTGTTAAATTTCGAATGAAATTGACTCCAACGAACTATATTTTACTTAGAATTGTTAATGTTATCAATCATTTTGGGGATGGTGGAGCTTTTCCATCGATGTCTGAAGCTTCTATTGCGATTGCGATGGGAAACATATCCCGAAACAGTTTCAAAGAGGCTCCTTACCGGACTTCATCATTAATGACCCCCTCCAACAATTTCTGGAAAGCCGATTTCTACCGTTGCCAAAAATGGAAATATGGCACCTCTAGATCAGGGGAAATACATCAAAGACAGTGTTTTTAAGTTTTATTATGGTATACATCACACATTATTGAGTCTGTCTCTTATACACATCTAGATGTGTATAAGAGACAGCACCACTGCTATGGATGCCTGGAAATAGCAGTGGCAAACATCTAGAGCCTCTACCAATCCCCTCAAGGGCAGACACAGAATTTAAAGTTAGTTGAGATATTCATCTTACCTACCTCGGTGGCATGGGTGCAGATCATGGGGAACGGGGGAACACGCCCGATATATTTAAGGGGGTGGGTGGTTGGTCCCCCACGTTTTGACCGCAATGGAATTTCATAAATAAAGATAATGCCAGAAAATTGTTAAAATGAACTGCATAAATGACCAAGGTTTTAACGAAAAAGAGCTGCTGTACAAAGACACCGGTATTACTAACGTCTGAATTACCTATAATACACGAATTTTGTTATAATTTGAGATGTAAGCCTATAAGAAAAAATAAAAGATTTTTGGCACAAGATATAGGCAAAGTAAGCAAATACATTAAAGACAATTACCGGTACGTTTTATTTTCTATGGTACAATATAGATTAATTAGATCTCTATGATAGTCGAAAATCGCTGATAAAAGATCTTGGTGACGGTAAATACATCAAAGGGAATGTTCTTAAGTTTTATTTTCTATGGTAAGCCTAATGTACATCAAACATATTAATTGGATCTTTATGCTTGCCGAAAATCGCTGATAAAAGACATGGTCATGTGATTTTTCCCGACTCCAACCCCCAAAAGTTTATAAATAGTCAATTGTTATTTTATATTCATTTTAAACAAACATTTTAAAATCAGTCTTGTGCTAATTATTAATTTAAGGATTGTCAGTCAAAAAAGTTGAAAAGTTAAATTGTACATAGGCAATACAAAAACAAGCGCATGGTGGATTTTCGTTTAAATTTAATAACATTAAACATTAATAATTAATTCGTATAATTTATAGGTATCAGTATAAATTTATTTAAAAAAGTAATAAAAATTGAGAAAGAGTGGTCCGGCCAAAGCCGGTGCTGCCGGTGCGGTTCCAAAGGCCCTGCGAAAATTATGTTACTACTTCAGCAACAACTATACTATAGTGCGGCTGAGATGGGTGTATAATCATGGTTTTGATGTAGGTAAACACAACACAACAGTTACGGAATAGCTAAGTGAGTACCACATAACATGCATTGACATTTTTAAAAGTGGCAAAACGGGGAACTAGCCCCCTGTTCCCCATACTGGATCCACTCCTGGTGGGGCTGAAGTGGATGTGACCTCACGGCTTTGAGATAGGTCAAGTAAATTAAATACATCAAAGAAAATGTTTCTTTAGTTTTATTTTATATGGTACATCACTCATATTAATTAAATATCTGTGGTTGCCGAAAAATTCCTGATAAAAAATCATGAGAAATTTCCTGGTGCTTCATTTAGACTATATAATGGTGATGTGATGATGATGAATTATACTATATAAAAGTGTCATTCCTGGCCATCTAAAGGTAGGCCTACTATTTCTTCAAATTTTCTCATCTCAGCCCCAACCATGGTGGGGCTGAGGTGGCCGTAGGCTCTCGGCTTTGAAGTACGGTAAAGTAAATACATCAAAGACAGTGTTTTTAAGTTTTATTATGGTATACATCACACATTATTGAGTAGGTCTCTGTAGTTGCCGAAAATCGCTGATAAAAGATCATGAGAACTTGTTGGTACTTCATTTTGACTATATAATGGTGATGTGATGATGATGAATTTTACTATGTAAAAGTGTCATTTCCGGACACCTACAAGTAGTATTTCCACGAAATGTCCCCCACCCTCCCCACACCTTTCAAAACAGGTTTGCACCCTTGCACGTACCCCTACCACCAAATCCTGCATCCGTCCCAGAACTTGTTCAGCCATTTTACTTATTGTATATATACAATTGCTAGGCTTATTTAAATTAAAGCAAATTTTACGACTCGTGGATCGTTTTTGAAGTCACTATATAAATATTATTACACTTTATTTAATTAATTAAAATGATTTAGATATAAAAATGGTAGAATGTATAAATATACAAAGATTTCAAGAACATTAACGGCATTAAACTTCAGTGTTCCTGTGGCTATTTTCATCAAATATCCTGGAAGTATTACCACCTGTGTACGTAGCAGAGCGTGAATTTTAAAATTCCAGGGAACCTCGTGACATGACGACGGAAATGGTGGACAAGGTGTATTTTAGCACAAAAAAAAAAAAAAAAACCCACCATATTTGGTAGACGCAGGCTATATTCGTGATGTACGTATCAACCAAACTACTAAGGTAGGCCTAAGCATTATTAAGACAACATGTAATTTTCAATACTTTGAGATTTTTAAGTTTCGTTACCCAATAATACGAGTCAGTTTCCATGTAGGCGTGCATGACATGGAGTAAATAACACTCGGACGGACGCTGGGGTTTTTTCGACAAGACTTTTTAATGTGTTTTTAAGGTATGCATTTTTATATATTTGTGCGCTTCAGTGTAAAGTAATAGTTAAAAAAAAGCATGTTGTCTCCTAATTCATTTTCATATCTTTTATTACACAGATGGTACTTGGTTGAGCGTTCTTGTGGCTATTTTCACTTAATATACTGGACGCATCACCTGTGTAGACTTCGCTAATTGAGCCACGTGAACTAATGAGGGATGTAGTCAATAGGATGTATTCTTGCAGAAAACTCCATAATTTGCTGTATTATAAGGTATTTCCGTGATGAATATATCAACAAAATTACTAAGGTAAGTGTCATAGTCAAATATTTGTAAATTGATTGTTTATTTCAAATGCCTGTTACACCAAACAACACGTGTTTGTTTCTTTGTAGTGTGTGTGCATAGTCAGGTCTAAATAAACTCGAATGAGCTGGGCAATTTCGACAAGAACAGTTGTGATATTGAGCACTGCTTTCCAATAATTTCTTTCCTAGACCACGTTAGATTTGTTTCTCTTTTGTAGGAGTTTCACCCACTTTTATTTCATTTATTTTTTTTTTTTAAATTTTCATAACATTGTTTGCACATAAAACAATAACAAACTGACATATCAAGCTAATTAAAATACAGTAATCATTTTAACATTATTTTAATATGATATTGTTTAATAAATTTGCTTTTTTAAAATAAATTTAATGATAGAAACTTGATAGAAGCTTAAATATTTTGTACTTTATTAATTCCTGTTTTTCCCATTACAAACATAGACCACGAAAATCCCTAAAATATTGGTTTTTGGAGCCTCTTTTTTTACAGCGTCACAAATACTTTTTTTCACGAACTATAACGTTTATTAAGCTAGAGTCTGACAAATTTGCAG